GCATAAGTCCTATGCATCTCCATTTACTTCGGGATATTTGTTTGGCAATCGGTTCTTTTACCTTTTTCTCCCCCAAAAAGATTCCTCCATGTCACCCTCCAAGTGACGTCCAACTTGTCGTTTTTCATTCAGGTTCCATCTGAATGATGTCCTGATGTGCGATGTCATTTGACGGGCTAGTCAGCGCCGTATTTCCTATCCATTTCCATTTATTTCAGGATATTTATTGAGGAATAGGTTCTTGATTTGTTTGTTCTCAGCCAGAGTTTCTTGTTTCTAATTCCTTCTGGTCATCTGGTCTTCAATATAGAGGCGGTGAAGTGGGCAGCTATTGGTAAAAGTATGCACTAGCCTGTGCGAAATACTTTTTGAAACAGGCCATGCTTACTTAATTATTTGTGTTATATGATGATGACGCAATCTCTGTGAAATGAAATGAGTTCACCATATTCTAAAAAATAAAAAGCTGTTTTAATCACTCTTTCGAAGTAACCAAAGGTCGGTTGAATGTAAGAAATTTGGTGTCTGTATTTCCTGTCGTCAACTGAAATTATATTTTATATATAAGTGTATTCGTGTAAAGTATACATAAGCAGCAGTTTTTGATCCATTTCAAATATTTTTGCTATCTAATACAATCGACACTTCTGTAAAGTAACACTGGCAACTAACGACTAATACCTCCGATGACTTATAAGGAGATACTGTAGAAACTATTGTAGCATGTTATGCTTATTATTATTATTATTATTATTAGAAACACACGTTTGATAGATTATGGGTGCTTCATAATTTGTGCGTAGGCTGATATACTTCCGGGATGGTCACATTGAAGCACATGGTAATGTTAAGGGACTACACCCCAAAGTCATATTCACAAGGCAGTGGGGCGGCATTATAAGCAGCGTCCCTCGGATTTTCGGTAACCAAAACATGTCTACACTCTATTCAATCCTTTGGATTCCAAAGCCTATGTCCACCAGCTTCACTAGGTGGATCTTCACTCGCATGTTGTAAGGATTGATGATACGACTGTGATGGTGTGTCACAGACAATGTTTTCTCATGGAATATCATTCTCACGTATTCTCACACAGTTCAATACTGTATACAATACATCTATTTTTGAACATTCTCTTTCTTGTTGTTTTTGATGTAAACCGAAATCACACGCTCGGTGATTGGTTAACGAGTATAAACCGTAGATATCTAAACAGCGGTTTGATCGATGAAAAATATACCTTAGCTTCCGTGTCTTGCCTTCTATCGTTACACTACCACTATCCAGTTGTCAAGGTTGAAGTGAAGTGTGTTAACTCTTGAGCTCAGCACTAATTGACTAAAAGTTAAGTGCTTAAGTCATTGAGAAGCTTTTTTAAACGTAGTTGAAAATCCGGAGATAACCCTAGAAGATACTTGTTTCAAATATGTAGAAGTTGAAGTTTATAACTGAGTTACTAGTCTTAGTATATTATGATTAAAATAGCAGTTTTTTGTTTATTAAAACCAGACTAAGTTTTATAAAACGTTAAGTTTGTTGCTGGCATAACTGAACACGTCAACTGTTGGCCTTAAGAAAGAGAGATAACAAGAAGGTTATTTTTATCAGGTAATGTATTAACTTTACACTTTTAATAAGTGAGTGAAAGGGAATGCGTGAAGAATTCTTCCTTATCACAGTTAGATTTAGCATTTTGCTTGTTGTTATTTGGGTTGATCTCTTTTCTGTATTGACGATTGAATAAGTTGATATAACCGTCTTTTAGCTTCTCAACACTTTACTTCACTTAGATATTTGATTGTTATTCAACAGGAATAGGATTCAAAGTATCTTTATAACATTACAAGTATTCAGTTTCAGAACTTCATCATTAGCTGACATCGGTCAGGGAACCATTGGAAGACCCGGGAGCACTTAATAACCGTTTTACCAGCCTAATTTTGGACTACTCAGCAGCACGCACCCACCCCACTGCCAGGGATCTAACCCAAGACATCTCGGTTACTAGATGAGCTAGTTCGTAGACCATTGAGCTACTGAGACCAAAGTCGATGGCCCATGAATTCTGACTTCTGCCGACTCTTGATTTTAGCGTAGCCACTAACCAGTGTCATCGCTATGTGAGTATTTGTGTCACACTCGACCTGCTGTACCCTAGTGGTCACGACTTTCCACTGGAACCTACCTCGCTACCTGTATGGGTCAGTCACTGGTGAGCATCAGATTAATTACCAAGTACTTTGTTTGCAAGGATTTGATGATTGGTTACAGGATTTTATCATGAGCTGAGACGTCAGTTAGAAAACCATTGGGAAACCAGCATTCGAGTATGGACATGTGTTTCATTCTCGTTTGGAACTCTTCATCTGTACGCACAGTAAAAACACACCTGCGTCAAGAGATGGTTTATTGGCCTAACCACTTGTTTTTTGGACAATAGGTCTTCACCTACTTCAGCCTATGCAGGTGGTCAGTATCACAAGCCTTCATGCAATAAATATGGCCCTGTAAATAAAGTGTCTTTTCTGATTAAATCGACTTCTATAGTAATAGCAACACAACGAGTTGTATTACTGTTCTGCTAATCAGAGGACAGGTATGTGACTCAAGCAACTATGACTTCTCCGTGATGAAGTAAATACTAAAACAAATCTCCCTCGCCCCCACCTCACTACAAGTATTTGAATGGGGTAACACTTCCACATATTTTTGACCTTTGATCGATTATGTTGGGTCGAGATGTTCAGTCTTCGCTGACATTTCGACTCCTAATATGCAGCTACTTTGATGATATCTGAAGACTAACATGATGTTATTGAGTACATCCAGATGATGAGCTCCAAGTAGGACGAAATGCATGTCCTGGATTCCACTGCTAGTAGACATCAAAACCAAATATTGGTTATTAATTTTGTTGTACATTGATAAATGAATTGGTTAGTTAGCCTACTAAATAAATTTTACACAGCAATAAATATCAAACTGTTCAATAATTTGTTAGCTTAATTTTGAAAATACCTTAATATCGCACTACGTATGTGAATACAATAATATTGTATACGCTATTTTATCCAATCACTTTTTTGTCATGTCATATGACCTTTAAATATTGTTTTTCTATTGATTGTAAGTAACAATTGTACTTTTCACTAATACTGAATAACGTTTCAACAATATACATACGAAATAGGAACAATGACCTTGTTTTTAAAATTTTGTTTCTTTCCTTCCCAAATGTGGAACATTGGGCTGCTGTCTGACGTGCAGTCTTCTATCTTTTTTGGGCTAAGTGAGGTTTAAGAGTGCGTCGACTGGGGATCGGATCATGTGCGCACAGTTGATGATTATTTTACCACTGAACCACCGACACGCTCTATGACCTAAATTAATGAATTGTCTGTGAACGGTTTAAATTCATTTAGGAATTATTGTCCAGTCATTATTATTGTTATTGTTCCCTTGGGTTCCTAGTGGAACATAGGGCTTCAACTGCACGTCTCCATTTGCTTCTCTCTTTTGCTGTACTTTTCACCTGCATCCATGTTAGTTAGTCCATACTGTTTCAACTCCTCTTCACACAATCTTCTCCATGTCACCCTTGCACTGACGTCCCACTCGCCGCTTCCCTTTCGGCCTGGTCCCAATCGAGCAATGACCTGACGCGCGCGCGATGTCACCCAGCGGCCTCCACAGCGAGTGTCCAATCCATCTCCACTTTCTCCTGCATATTTGTTGGTTGGCGATTGGTTCTTGTTTTGTTTCTTCCCATAGTTTCTTGTTGGTGATTCTTTCCGGCCCAGTCCGGCCATCTGATCTTCAGTACAGGGCGAAGACAGTTGTTGGTTGATGAAGGTCTGCAACAGGCTGTTGGAAATATTCTTTGTGACCCGCCCGTCAAGTTTCTGATCCGTATAGAAGAGCTGACTGACTTGACGTTTGTATTGAAAATCCTACCGAATTTTGTTGTTGATGTGTTGTTCAGTGACGAAGATTTCTAGATTGATTTGAAGTTGATGAATGTGTTTCTCGCCTTCCCGATTCTCGCTCGATTTGACATCCTCGTCCGTTCCTCCTGTAGCTGTCCAGTCAACTTAATGCCGAAAATGAAATACTCAAAGGGATTTTGTAGTACTTACAAACGCCTGAATGTTGATTATTTGTAAAGCCATAAGTAGGTGTGTGCACCCATCTGTGTACACTATTTAGTAACTAGTGTTATGTCTTTTAGTCCTTTGTTTGGTGCAGACTATATTCTATCAGTCACGTTTGCAGTGTAGTTGGAGGTAATCGACAAGAAACCTTGCCTGCTCTAGGTTTCGTGCACTCACCAGTCAACAAGGTATACCTGGAACCTTGAAGGAACTCAGGTATCCAATACAGTTCTACAAGAGGTCAGTTGCAAGCGCGAATAGCTCAATAGAAACGTCTCTGATTGATAAGGGTTCGAATCTCAGGAGGGACATGAGACTCTTCAGAGTTGCAGATACGCCTTGGTGATTAGTACGTGCCAGCTAGCACGACACCTAAGTGGATTTCCGATTGCTTCCAACCATCTCACAAAAAAAGTTGTTCGTGTATTAAAAGTGAACTAAGGTGGTACATAAACTACTGATTGTTTCATATGAGTAGTATTTTGCTCAATTTATTTTTTTATTTTATATTTTATTTCTTCAATAAAATGTTCTGAGAATCCTTCACTATGCGTAAAAATATTGTATAAAATGAACCTTTTGCTGTTATATTATATATTACGCTAACAATAAACCTTGGTTTCGGAACCTGGGGGTGCCAACTGCTGAAGAATCCCAAAATAAGCTGATGAAACAGCTGACCAGTACTCCCAGGTTTGGCAATAGTTCTGTAACTAATGTCAGCTCGTAACCGATCATATAATTTGAACATTTTTATATTCCCCACTAAATAGACAAGTTAATAAAAACAACAAAAAGGTGGATAGATATTTAATTGTTACTCATTACCTTTATTTTACATTAAAACAGATACACCAACTACAACAAATGAGAATAAACAATGTCATGAGTCTTCCAGTGCAAAACAACTTTGTGTATCATCAGAGTCTGTGCTATTGTCGAATTCCACATTCAACAGAAGTTGTGAAACAGATCAGGTAACCGTTTGTTAATCGTTTTTTAAAATTAATTTAATTTACTTTGGACTTTCCCGTTCATTGATTGAAAATAAGTGTTCGACCTCAGGTTGATATGTCGGCTCCTCCTTGTGCGGATGCTTCGACGATGTGTGAGGACCTAATGTGAAGTAATTTGGTGGATGGTGACTAGCCCTGAAGTCCAGTGGGGATGTGCATTTCGTCCCATTTGGGACTAGTCAACTTTGGCTTGTGAAACGATGGGTACTGAGGTCTAGCCTCAGTGAGGTAGGTTGGGGAACACTACCACCTACTGAGGAGTGCAGTTACATCTAGATGATGAGTCAGTCCCGAATCGGACGAATGCTCATCCTCTCTGGATTCTACGGCTAGTCACCACCCACCAAATAACTTCATATTGACTACTGTACCTTTGTGTTTAACAAAAAAAATGACATTCAGCGATGAGTTACTCTTCTCAAAGGTATTGTTCTCTCTGTTTTCTATTGTTCTCGAATATGCCGAACGTATATTGTCTTAGTAATAAAAGGGAATATTTCCAAAGATATATAATCATATTTTTGAATTTAAATATGAATCAATGGAATCCAGTGGAAATTATGCCACAAAAGAGACTATTAATCCGATAGGAACTAAGAGACTTAGATTATTATTATTATTATTTCATTTAATTCCTAGAGGAACATAAGACTTCAACCGCACGTCTCCAGTGCGTTCGGATTTCTGCTAACGTTTTCACCTGGCTCCAAGTCTGCCTACATGCTGTCATCTTCTCTTCATATGACCTCCTCCATTCCACCCTCGCACTGACGACCAACTCGCCGCTTCCCTTTCAGGTTCCACTCGAGGGCTTGTCTGGTGATGTCACTTGATGGTTTCCTCAGGTTATGGCCAATCTACCATTATTTCTTCCTGTATATTTGTTTCACAATCGGTCCCTGGTTGTTCTCTCCTAGAGATCCCCGTGTTGCTGATTTTTTCTGGCCATCTGACCTTGAGTATTGAGCGAAGACAGCTGTTGATTAAGGTCTGCTTTAGCGTTATTGATAGAAATGAGTACATTTCATAGGAAAATGAAAGTAGGTTAAGTCAGGATCAGTGTGATGCTGCAAGAAGTAGAGATGTATTAGTGTACTTCCTCGCTGATTCATTAAGTGTTAATTATTTTTCACGTAATTTTTCTTTCTCCAGAAGATTTTCATCTATTGTAGTTTCGTTTTTTCATCTTTATGTTTGATTTTCTGAAGTAATATGGCAGCTTGAACTGCTGAACTTTTCTTCATTGTTTTTGCTTTCCGAGTGGACCACAGGACTTCAAGCTTGAGCTATGAAGTTTCAGTCGCAGTGGTGTTTTCTTTTTTACGGGGTGTAGTTTCTGGCCTCACACCCAACCTTTCCTCTTTACCATAGGACTTACTACCGCTTAACGGAGGTGAAGTGTTATGTCGACTGGTAATCGAATCCCGGACCACGTCAGATGTGGTTGGTGAACTTTCTACCGCTGAGCCGCCGATACACGCTTGGATTCTGAGTGGAATAGAGTGTTTCTACAGAACATCATCATTTCACTCTGTGTTTGCTGCCGTCTTTTAAAGTTGGCTACATGATTGCCAATAAGCTATCATCTCATGTTCACTTGATCTCCTGCATATCACTTTCGGACGTCCATCTCATCGTATCCCTATTAGGGTAGCCTGATTCAATATGTCGCTGAATGTATTCCTATACATTCATCTTCATTTCCTTTTGTGTATTTGTTGGGCAATAGATTATTAGTTGGTTAGTTGACAGAGTTTCTTGTTGCGTGTCCTTCCTGACTGACCATGTGATCGTCAGTATGAAGCAAAGGCAGTTGTTGATGACAGTCTTCAGTAACCCAGTCGGAAATACCTTCCATTTCAGACCAAGTCTCTAAACCATAAAGAATCATTGACTGACTGGACATTAGTGCTAAAAATTCGGATCTTGTTAGTCATGTTCAGTGCCGGAAATTTCCTCACTGCAGTATTCACTTATCAATTCTGACTGTCTAGCAAGCGGTATTCGACGAGCCAGTGATATTTTATTCTGATAACTACTGATTTACCTTTAAGCTATTCCTACTCCAACAATTAACACTTTTCGTAACTAAATCAAATTTTTCTACAACTAGTTGGCTAGTAGTTAACACCTTTACTCTCGATTTCTCTTTACGTATGTGCTCTGTACTGTGCATTGATTAATCACTAGGATGTGTTAGTGCAAGTCAAATTTTAGCATAAAAATTTACAATGTATTCACAAAGCCAGATTACTCGTGGTACACTTTGAAATGATATTTAATTGTTGGGCGTAATAAGTGGAAAATCTGTGCTTCTTAGGTAGGTAAAGATGAAACATGTACCTGTAAGTGTGTCACAATACTCTTGAGTCTTGGTGTTACAACATGTGGCCTAATTCGCTCAAAGGAAGTCTACCACATGCCAGCCTAAAGTTGATGCTCGTCGACAGAATCAGTATTCATATTAACGGGTTATTTAGTTCCAACCCAGTGGATAAGAAGTAGTGTGGTGAGTACACACTGTTGAAGAGCCTCCGACCAGGACGTAACAATTGTCCAGTACACTCCTTTGTTTTCAGTGATTCTATAATTAGTGTTGGTTAATGATGAAATCTAAATAGTGACAATCCATTTCTTTGCCTAGACATCATAGTATGATAAGTAATTTAATTGTTGAGATAAGTAAATGAATCAGAGAAGTATCTACGCAGATAAGGATAAATCTTGGGCACTGTGATGGAGTATAACTGCATTATGGATAAAATTTTATTTTGATAGAATCACACAATGTAGTGTTATACGGTAATATTAATTAATGACGTTTGAAGCACAATTTATTACTGCTCATAATCATATCAAGTCATTCACTCACACAACTTTTCACTTCATTTACATACATGAGTGAAAATTGATCATTAGACATTTGAATAAAATCAATATGATAAGATAAAGTACATTCGGAAATAATAATATCAGTGTTATCGATCGAATACAATCAGATGGGAAGGAAATTAAGATGTTTTCATAGTATAATAGATGAATAACTGGTAATAATATCTTCCATATCTCTGGTATTTGCATTGAGCCACTTCTATTACATATGTTGGGTTTAGACTCGATGAACCAGAATCCAGTAATCAGCTTCTCTCTCTCTCTCTCTCCACCTACCTATATTACATTTTAGGATTTTGACTCTGTCCAACGCACCCCATTGTGTGGTGGTGTGTTAATGCATGCAGTGCGATTGCTAAGTTTTGCTCTAAATTACTTATCTTCGTGGGATCAACCATTCTATCCTTAGCTAAATTCTTATGTTCTGATAATCTCGCTACTCCTGATTTTTTGATTTTTGATTTTTGATTTACAGCTTGATTCCACACTGTATTTTTGGTACAAGTATGGAATTTTCAGCATGGATATCGGTAGCCCAAATTTTGCAGGCCGACCATAGATATCAGGTGTGCGCCGGCGTCGGCTCGAACCCCGGACCATGTGCATGGTCGGCGAGAGTCCTAACCACTGTGCCACCGACTTAACTCACAGTCATTGCAAGGTATTTTGTAAATTATGTTATTTTGTCTAAATGGCTCCACCAACAAGGTCTTTTAGCCTACAGAGCTTGTCGTGCCTGAGTGAGTTTGTAAGTTTAAATCCCACCCCTAGTTCCTGCTTTATTGAGAATCCTACTCAGTTTTAGTTACGCTTAGGAAACTAATAGTATGCATATCTCACGAGTTATTGTTTTCTTTCAAATATTTTATGTTCGCACTATCAGATCCACTCATCTACACCATGTCAACGAAAAAGCAAACAATCATCATGCAGTGTGAAAGATACTTCTGAAGGTGAAACCCTCAACTTTTCATCATCAATTGATGACGATAAAGAAAAGCCAAGAATTGCTGATCAAATTAATGATTTATTAGATGATATAAATTTTGTCAGTTGCCTTGATCGTATCTACAATCCGCATATACGTTCACAATATCAAGATTTAATTAATAAAAATTATAAACCTGCCTATAAACAGCTATTTCTTGAAACGTTTACTTTTTTAAAATCTATACGTAATAATAATAACAGTAATAAGTCGAGTATAAATTGATTTTTGAAAAAAAAAATGGTATTGTTTTTGTTCCCCTTCACTCCGTCTCTCCTCCAGTCTTCCCCCCCCCTTCCCCCAGTATCAATCAATTTTTTTGAGAAACTTAACCCCTTTTATTCCTGTTATTGTAATTTCTCTGCAATATACTTTAGCTTCTCACTACTCGTATCGTTTTCAGTCGTAATAACAATCACTATAACAATATTTATTAGGCAATTAATACGAGCATGCCATAACTTTCTAGTCGATGTACACATCCCAGTGATGTCAGACAAAGTGAGAACAGAAATACATGCACACACACACACACAGGGATACATAGTTTAAACCAACACAAATCGTTATGTGTCTATGGATTAATTCATAATTAAATCCAATTGTGTATAGCTATGATAACATTACAGTATAGTTCTTTCGTTCTTCAAATTATCACTAAATGTTTGCCATCATCCTTTCCTTATCTCTCTCTCTCTCTCTGTCTCTGTATACTGTTTCGTGTTTGTGCGCATATGAAATGTGCCTTGCTATACACCTACACACGTACACACACCCTACATGAATATAACGAGATTGTGCTATTTTTCATTATCCGTTTAGTCTCTCTTTGTGCATTTCTCCAATTGATTTCGGTTTACAAAGAAATACTCATTTGTTGTGTTGTTGTTGCTGTAGTTGTATTGTGTTTCTTTCCAGTCGGTTTTCTTTCCAACAGTTCGATGTTCATTTATTTCCTTTAATATTTTTGTTTAATTTTCTTGTGTTTTCGCTGTCTGTACTTTATTATTTGATAGAAGTTACTTCATTTCATCCTTTTGGGGAAAAAGATGAGTATCGTTGTTTGTTAATTTGTTTTTGTTTAAAACGATAGTTCCGCGGGATTTTAAAAAAAGAACTAAAACAAGAATGCTATTTTAAACAATTTAATGATCAGTTGTTTTTAATATACTTCACTTTTTTGTTTTCTTCATAGTGAATTTATTATGTAAAGTTTAATTTCTGTTGTAATTTTGGCAGAAAAGATACATCATGTGATGATATGATAAGATTTCATTCTTTTCAATGATACTTCACCATACACCAATATACAGCTGTTCACCAAGCTTCATTTAGCCTCGCAAATATCTTAAGATAACTGCACTATCGGTCTAATTTTTTTCAGAAAACTGCTGCTTTTAGACAAAATACGTATATGAATACGTTTCCAACACACATAAAACTAGGTAAGGTCATTAATTAGATAAATGAATCTGATTGGAATAAAACAATTCCAACAGTGGTGTGAACACGGGCAGTAATTTTGCTTGAAATATTACCAATAACAAAACTTATCATTGTGTGTAAACTATTAAAATATAATTATACTTTATTTGAATCTGATTGGCCCTATAACGTCAATGAATGTCCAATAAGGTTATCATGTTAACATAACAACATAAATCTGCAGAGAGTCAAAGAGATTCGTGAATTCTATTGAGTTCCAGCCATTTCACATTCAACGTGCAACTTGCCTCTACTGATGGAAATTAGAAGAGATAAACCCAAGACAACTAGACATGTAAGGGTCCAGCTCATGGTTACACCACTGTATTTAATTAGTGTGTTCCCATAATCTGCCAGTGTTCCTCCATCTTAGTACATACTAGAACCGATTTAGGCATTATTTTCTTCCTTTGTTAAGTACAGTCGGTTTTAGGAGCACTCTGTCCTTCAGGTAGTAATTGATCACTCTAAACAGTCAAACAGTTGTGAGAAGCAGGACAGATGGCCGCACATTAATCAAGCACGACAAACAACTGAGCTAGAAGCCGTTCAGGCAGTGTAACTGTCTCGTGTCTCAGTATCTAAACTTGGAACAGAAGGTCTTATACATTTGGTACTTCTTATCACCGTGCCACTGCGTAAACAGTAAGTAACGGTGTTTAGTGTGTTCGGTTACTTCTGAACATTTTCATGTTCACTGGAGAAGATAATTTCCAAAGTTTGATAATTGTTTGCGTCTATTCTAAGACTTTTCAAGTTGAACTTCATCAATGTTGATATTTTCTTGGCGACTGTGGTGAACTAGTACATCCAGTCGCTGCTTTCGCACACTGCGTTTTATGAGATAAGATTTGTGTCCAGGTGAAGAAAAGAATACCATTTGCCTTATGTCATAGTATTCACAGCACAGAATCATGTTGCCTGCGTAATCGGGGGTACCCAAAGGGTTTTAGGCTGATAACAGTCTTATAGAGTTATCAGAGAAGTTCTTACCTGTGTGATCACATCTTATTTGGAAATGACTTCAAGCTTTATTTTTCCCAAGTATTTGTAATCCATCCAAAACACACTTGGGTTTTTTGGTAATGCGAAGACAATATTTCTATATTTCTTAATGTGCTCCATTGAATGACAAGTTAGCAGATTGTACCCACAAACTAAAGACAAAAAGGACAGCAACCATTTAATTTCCCATAAATCGAATTTATGTAATTTAAATAATACTTATCCTTGCTGTAAAACTGTTGTGCTCTACACAGATAGGAATAAATATATTATTATTGCACCTCTTTCAGACGCGATTGAGTTTATAAGCCAAAGAGTATATCGTCAGTGATACCTGTTAATAAATAAACGTTCGGCGACTTATAGTGTCAATGTAGTTGAAGATTGAACGATCAATTCATGGTTGTTTGCTCAAACCCAACTTCCCTATATTTTTGCGGGGGCATCAATACACCAGTCATCGTCTCATCGGTCGCTGTTCAAAAAGAACGTAGAAATACCATCAGGAACCTTAGTTTATTATGCTGCTTATATGTTGGTGTTAGAATAAAGAATTCTCGAGTCGCCAATCGGTGTTCTAGTTTTCGCGTCCGTTAGTACTAAGCGTTTCTGAAGGGCTTCGAGGGACAGCGAGAGGCCCGGTGTAGCAAGAGCTGGGCATTAACGGATTTTGAGACGTGATTGAGGTATAGTGAGATTATCTCAGGTATTATTGGGTTTTCAGACTGCATAGTGGTGTTCTGAGCGATGGCTAAATGGGGAAATCTTGGTCAAGGTAGGAATCCAGTCATTGTCTATAGAAATTCTAGTCTGGCATTCAGCAAACAGAGATTGGTTAACAGATGCATAAGAGCCTGGTTAGTTTCTCCAGCTCTAAATGTCAAGTGAGGAGGCTTCAATGATGATGCTGGTATGTGCGTTGAGACACGGTGAAAGAAGCTAGCTTCTTGAATACGACGTGATTTTTCCTCTCTGACCAAAAAATACCTATTTTGTGAATAATCCCATTGGCAAACCTGATCTACCTAGCCGATGACTTAAATTCAACCACTACTTCCACATTAAATATCTGTGTCTCGAGCTACTGCCAAATCTACAGTTGTTAAATCTGCAGCCACACCTTCCTCGCTCGTTCAGATAAACAATACTTGTTGGTCCGCCACGTCATTTCCGTGAAACTGAGTAACCAAAAAGAACTAGTTAAAGTCGAAAGCCCTTTCTTTTACTTACCTTGTACTTTATCAGTCTTATTCTTGTTCTGGTGGGCAGATACTGTTACCATCTTTTATCCACAAATAAGCATGTTATAATAATTTTTAATATGGCAGTTGGAAGTAGCCCTAGAAAAAGCACTAGACACCATATTCTGCAGTGAAAACGGCTCCAGCCAGGGGAGGTAATAACCCAGTGATATTAACCTAATCTCGCATACCGGTTCTAAGGACCAGTGTACATCTCGCCTGTTCGGATACTATGCCTATAGTGCCAGAGTCTAGCACTGAAATGGCACAGGAAAAACCAAGTTGATATGGTGCTACATATATATATGTCCGTTGGAACCCGGTGTGTGTCACAGCGAAACGGAAAAAAAACGCTCAAGGTGTCATGAGATCTCGAAAGTGTCTTCTAGAAAAGCGGACGAATTTCAGACCTGTAGTGTTGTTGTTTTCAAAATTGACTCAGTATTTGAATGCCACTTTTGCTGGCGATGGGTGCACTGCTGTTGTGAGTTATGTTTAATAACCCGTGCCCATGGTTCTGGTACATCTGCCTAATTCGTCACCCTGGAACAGTCTCACACAGCATGACTGTGGATAGCAGAAATAGCGCGCCTTTTTGGGTGTCGTTCATTCTCATGCAGCTCTCCACCTAGTAGTATCACACTTCCAAAACTTGGTAAAACCCGTAAAACTGCAATCTTCATAGACTGAAGACACTGAAAGTTAAACCTAGAACCGCAGGAGAAGATGGAATCGCCTAAGCACCACTTTCATCCACTAGCAAGCATGGCAGCATAGCAAAGACTAGTCGGAACCTGATGAAATCTAAAATGACTGACCCTGCAATCGAGGACAAGTGGCCAAAAACCAAACTTACGTCTGAGGTCAGTAGGTCGAATTCCCTTATCCTGTTTAATGTACCCGTGTGCAATGATAGTTTGCTTGAACAAAGATCAGGAATAGTGGTCTATTTTGTGTAATAAATTAGGTCTGAACATCAATTCAGCAAAATTGTGCAGGCTGTACAGGGGTGTTCAGGCACCTCAAGGTAAGACACCTCCATTAAGCGTGACATTAGGCTTTGCCGAGGAAAGTGAAAGATTACTGTTTTGCTGGTTCAAATATTAGCTATCGACAGGAGTCCCAACATAAGAACTAGGCATGATAGGTTAAAGGCTAACAGGCAAATAGTGTGGAAGCCACCGGAACTGATGCCTTCTACCTCCATGGTCGTACGCTGTGTTCCGGAGCTGGAAACTGGCACTGCCTGTGAAAAACACAAGCATAATACACAGCAATGGAGATGGTTGTATTCTCACATGGCTTCTAGTGCTTCCGGAGCAATCTCGATTTTCCAACTACCTCGCCCCACTCATCGCACACAGATTAGTGCTCCAAGGCTGCTAAGTGTCAGATTCGACTCCCAGGAACAGTTGGCTCTAGAACTTCAATGGTGGTACCGGACCATGGGTAAATTGGCAGGACACATCCGATGCTGCGAAGGCAGACCTAGCG